TCAGACCTAGAGAGAACTAGTTTGAGAGGTCCACACAGACATGATCTGCAGGTGGTTACGCCAGGAGGATGCATAAGTGGAATGAGGGAGGAACGCATGTCCTGCTAGGTGTCTGCTGGAGCCTCCTCTCGTGATAAAGAAACAATGAACAAATACTAAAGAGCACAGGGACACTGAGACAGGCTAGGAATCACACTGCTTGGGATCAGCTTGTGCAGTTAAACTTACTAAGGCCCATACTAATGCTGAATACCATGGTATGCCAAGAACCCCGCTCAGCCCTTGATAAGCACCAGCTCCTTTCATCCACACAGGAGGCAGAGGTTCTATCTACAGCCAACAGGTGCGGCAGCTGAGGCTCAGGGCCAAGTACTCTCTGGGTCTGTGTGCCTGCAGATTCGTGCTCCCCATTCATCAGCCTAAGACTTGGGGCTTCGAATTTCCCAGCATATTCTCACTGGTGCCAATGACCTCTTAGGTAGGGTCAGTGCCTCAAGCCTTGCTGTCCCTTCTACGAAGAAGCTGCTACCCTACAACTCCCGTCATCCTTGAACAGTGAGTGCAGACCATCTGGTATTGTTGTAGTCAGGAAGGTGGTGACCATCTACAAAGAGGAGTGGCATTCCCGAGCACACACTTGGAGACTCCTGTTCACTTTATTAGTGTGCATGTGTGTGCATGTGTACAAGCACATGATATACACTTGTGTGTGGAGGCCAGAGCACAACCTGGGTGTCATTCCTCAGGAACTGTCCATCTTGGTTTTTGAGACAGGCTCTCCCATTGGCCTGGAACTTTCCCGGGAGGCTAGACTAGCTGGCCAGCCAGTCCCAGGGACCCTCCTGTCTCTGCCTCTCCCGTGCTGGTGCTGGCACATGTCACTATGCCTGGCTTTCGTATGTCAGCCCTAGGGAACAAATTCACATGCCCATGCTTGCATGGCAAGCATTTACTACTAGGCCAAGCCATGTCCCCAGCTCTCTGCTCCAAAGACAGAAATCCAGCTCCAGTGAATGAACCAGGTTTGATGTTGGTCTCCAAAGAGCTGACTCCACATGGATCTCTGAACTCACATTTCTAGAGTCGAGAACAGCTGTGGCTACCAAGCCTGATGACCTGAGTTTGATCCTCAGCAGCTAAATGGCAGAAAGAACTCCTAAAAGTTGTCCCCTGAAAACCACATACGTGCTGTGGTACTTGAATAAATAAAGTAATATCGCCGGGCATGGTGGCGCACACCTTTAATTCCAGCACTCAGGAGGCAGAGGCAGGCAGATCTCTGAGTTCAAGGCCAGCCTGGCCTACATAGTGAGTTCCAGGACAGCTGGGGCTACAGAGAGACCCTGTCTCAGAAAGACAAAAATAATAAATAAATAAATATCGACAAAACATGACTCTAGAAGCAAAGAGCAGCAGTGGGCCCAGGGAACACCTGCAGAATCCCAGCAGCCCTGGGATAAGAAGAACCTTTCTTCATCTTTGCAGCACTTTGGCGGGTGCCTCTTTCTTCCATGGCCCATGTCTCGTTTTGTCTTCCCCACAGCCTATAGTCAGCTGGAGTGACATTATTCTCAGTGTAAAGATGGGGAAACTGAGGCCCAGAGGGAATATGGGATTTACCCAGTATAAACAAGTCAGCAGCAGGAGCTGTGCTTGAACTGGGTTGGCAGGATGCTAGTCACAGCGGCCTGCTCCATCAAGCAGAGTGCTAGTCTGGGTCTAGTCATGGCAGCCTGCTCCACCATGCAGGCTCTCAGCTTCTGAGTGCACTGATTTTTCATTTTATTTGATTTTTTTCGAGCTTGGGATGGGCCCCCATTGGGATGGGCAGGCATTCCATCACCAAGCCACAACATTTTAAATCCTCTGGTCCTGCTCAGTCTATGACCCAGACCTGATGATGTACTGAGTAAAGAGAGAGATCAAGGGTAGTTCTCTAAGGCAGGCTGCAAAATTTCAGCCTATGCTGGGTATTTCCAGGGTCCACAGCCTCCTCCTGCAACCTGACCACACACTTGATGTTACAGCCAGGCTCATAAAACACTTATCCTTACCAACATGCCTCCAAGTTGTATCTGTTCCAACACTATCACTTTAATCATGTTATGTCACAGAATGATGTTTTCCTAGGCTCTATTCTAAAAGTTCCCATTCGTCCTGGCACGGTTGTACACATATGTATCCCAGCAATGGGAGGCTGAGGCAGGAGGACCACAAGTTTGAGGCCAACATAACAAGATTGTCTTTTTAAAAAAAAAAAAAAAATCCGGGGTTGGGGATTTAGCTCAGTGGTAGAGCGCTTGCTTAGCAAGCACAAGGCCCTGGTTTGGTCCTCAGCTCAAAAAGACGAAAAAAAAAAAAAAAAAACAGAACACCAAAAAAAGTAAAATTTCCCTGGGAGTTTCACGCTGGAAACAAGGAAAAGACTGAGGGCCTGGGTCCGACTAGATGGGGAGTTTGTCTTCCTCAAAAGAGATTTCACGGCGCATCCTTTTAGTCCCAGCACTTGGAAGGCAGAAGCAGGCAGATCTGTGAGTTCAAGGCCAGCCTGGTCTACATAGTGAGTTCCAGACCAGCTGGGGCTACAGGGAGACCCTGTCTCAAAAAGACCAAAACAACAACAACAACAACAACAAAAAAAAAAACACTCCAAAACCAAAACCAAACAAAAAACCCAAAAACCAAATAAATGAATAGTCCCTACCATCTTGTATGGCATGAAAATGCGAGGACCAAAGCTGGAATCATGTTGTGTCACATGCCTGAAATCCCAGCACTCAGAAGGCAGAGGCTGGAAGAGCAGGAACTTTAAGGCCAGCCTTGTCCACATAGTAAGTTTGAGGCCAGTTTGGCTACATTAAATAAAAAAGTCAGGACCAGCAGTTGAACTTTGTGGCTCCCACCTGTAATTCCAGCACTTCAGAGACAAAGGAAAACTGTAGTGAATTCAGGGTGATCCTGGGCTACAGAATGAGACTGTGTCAAATAGAAAAAAACGCCAGGGCCGAGCTCCCATTCCCCAGAGGGTGCGCCTCCATTACTACCACTGAAAAAGTCTCAAGTTTCCACCTCACCTCCAGTTTCTTGTAGTAAATCCTACTAGCTCAGGAAGGCACAAGAGCTGGTGACACCACCAGTTGGCACTGAAAGGGTGGAGTGGCCGTGAGGCACACAGAGGCTGACAGTCCCTCAACAGCACACTATGCTACTGCCATCACCGTGACTGCTAGGTATGGCCTCCCAACACTGCACTGCCACCTGCCACATATAATTTAGCGGTCCTGTTTTACAGATGGGGAAACTGAGGCAGAAGGTTTGCTTACATTCTCACAACCAGGATGCAGTGGCATGACTTACCTGCAGGGCTGTCTTTTCAAAGATTTCTTTTATTGGTGGTCATTATAGAGACAGTAAAAGAGCACTCAGAACTGGACATTTGTCACCTCAGAAAAATCTGCGTTTTTTCCAACCATCAGACAATCCAACCATTACAATACAATGCTGTTTCACATAGACATCCCCTAACATACTCCCTGTTATTTAGTTCCAACCGTTCTGACTTCCTTCACTCCGGCCCAGTCCTGTTCTCTTGCTGTTCAATTCTTAATGTCACCAGGAACACCACCCCAGGACCTTTGCACCTATTGTTAAATGTTATTACCTCCCCCTAGATAGCTGCATGGCTCTATACCGTCCCCCCCAGACAGCTGCATGGATCGCTCCCTCTCGCATCTCTGCCCTCCTGCTTTATTTTTCTCCTTCACCCCTATTACCGCCTTCCATGTTGTATGTTTATTTTCTGAATAAGCCCATCACTCCTGACAACCACCTCCTGCTGCTGTAAGTTTCAAAGATTTTTTATTGGTGGTCATTATAGAGACAGTAAAAGAGCACTCAGAACTGGACATTTGTCACCTCAGAAAAATCTGCGTTTTTTTCCAACCATCAGACAATCCAACCATTACAATACAATGCTGTTTCACATAGACATCCCCTAACATACTCCCTGTTATTTAGTTCCAACCGTTCTGACTTCCTTCACTCCGGCCCAGTCCTGTTCTCTTGCTGTTCAATTCTTAATGTCACCAGGAACACCACCCCAGGACCTTTGCACCTATTGTTAAATGTTATTACCTCCCCCTAGATAGCTGCATGGCTCTATACCGTCCCCCCCAGACAGCTGCATGGATCGCTCCCTCTCGCATCTCTGCCCTCCTGCTTTATTTTTCTCCTTCACCCCTATTACCGCCTTCCATGTTGTATGTTTATTTTCTGAATAAGCCCATCACTCCTGACAACCACCTCCTGCTGCTGTAAGTAGAGCTTCCTGCGACGCCTTTTCAAGCTGTGTCCCATGGTCACTCTAGCCAGCCTGAACCCTGAAGAAAACCATTCAGTGGGAAACATCATACTGTCCCCTTTTCCCAGATGTCAGGCACCTCCCGCACCCCCACTCCCACACCCCCCCTTAAAATTCTCTCACAAGGCATAAGCAAACACGGGAAATCTTTGATTCTGGTTAAAGAGCAGCTAAATCAATTCCCACCCACGGAGCTGGCCAGACCAGTCAGTTTCACTTTTAACTTACCTATGGACGCCCTTGGTGTACAGATTGCAAGCCCACCCGCCCCTTTCCAACCCTGTGGCGTCCCCTTGCACATTGTCATCCTTCCTGGAAGATGATCGGGGATCCAAACCATCCCTGAGCTTTTAAGTAGCATGGCTCTGGGGGAACTTAAGCTCATCCAACAGGTAGGAGGGGCAGAGGCCGGCCTTCCTAGCCCTACATGGATTCCCCCATCTTGGAGGGGCGAGCGTCATTCTCCTAGTGGAGAGAGCTCGGTTTTCCAGGCACGTTCAGTGGGGGAGGAGAAAGCAGCCCTCCCACGACTGGCCAAGGCCAGGGTTGCAGCTGCGACGCTTAGGCCCCGGAGCCGGACGGGGGGTGGGGTGGCGGGGGAGGCACAGGTACAATCCTGGGCCCGTAGTCCAGGACCTACCCTGGGATGGGGCTGTTCCCAGCGTGGGCTAGCGGACGGGGATACTTCGCTGGCAAGGAGGAGCGGAGGATGCGGCCCGGAGGGGATCCGCGGTCAGAGCGCCCCCGGAGGCTGGGAATCCTGCCGGGGTCCGGGGAGAAAGCGCGTCGGCGGGGCGGAGCCGGCGAGGTCGCGGCCCGAGCCCTGGGAGGAGGCCGTTACCTTGCCCTCCGGGCGGCCGACAGGGCTGAGGGCCGCCAGCTGCTGGCTCTGGGCCGGGCCCCTCCCCCTGGTCCCGCTCCGGCGGCTCCGGGAGCCTCTGGCCGCTGGTGCGCTGTCAACAAAGCGTCACTTCCGGGCCGCCCCTTAGCAACAGCGAAGGGGTTCCCTCGCCCCGTCCCGCCGCGAACGCGAGCAACGGCGGTCGAAGGTTCCGGCTCCCGGGCTGCTACCTTAGCCTGCACGGCCTGGCTCGCCGAGCAGAGATGAGGGCGGAGCTGCCTCCACCTTCCCCAGTCAGCGCTGACTCAGCCCCCGCCTCCTCCCGCCCCCTAATCCAGCGTCCACAGCGTGGTCCCCACGCAGCCGTCACGTTGCTCCACAATGTGCTGCCTGAAGGGTTACCCCCCCGCCAGCTGTCAGGCAGCAAGATGGGGGGGGGGGTCAGCAAGATGGGGGGGTTAGCCTTGGCCCCTGCATTTCCTTCTAGTCGCTAAGGAGCTCGCTCGCTACCCCCCCTCAATGTCTGACCCTCTCCCTCTCCCTAGGATCTCACCCTCTTGCACTGGCCAGCCTGAAACTCGTTGTGTAGACCAGGCTGGCCTCGAACTCACAGAGATCCCCTTGTTTCTGCCTCCTGAGTTGCTGGGATTAAAGGTATGCATCATCGCGTCTGGCCAAGGAGCTCTCAAAATAGCATCTTCTGAGGCTGGAGAGATGGCTCAGCTGTTAAGAGCACTTGCTGCTCTTGCAGAGGACCCGGGTTCAATTCCCAGCACCCACATGTGGCTAACAACTGTCCATAACTCCAGTTCCAGGGAATTCAACACCTTCTTCTGACTTCTACAGGCATCGCACGCATGACACAGGTGTACTTGCACACATGCAGGTGATACACTCATACCATGAAATAATGAATTGCCGGGTGTGGTGAAGCACTCGTACGGTACGGCAAAGGCAGGCAGATCAGGCAGATCTCTGTGAGTTCGAGGCCAGCATGGTCTACATAGTGAGCTCCAGGTCAGCCTGAACTACAGGGAGCTATCTCAAAAAGACAATAATAATAATTTGGGGGGGTTCTTTTTTTTTTTAGACAGGGTCTCCCTGTAGCCTCAGCTGGCCTGGAACTCGCTATGTAGACCAGGCTGGCCTTGAACTTACAGAGATCCTCCTGCCTCTGCCTCCTGAGTGTTGGGATTAAAGGCATGCGCCAGCACGCCCAGCTTAAGTTTTTTTAATTTAAAAAAGAGGACACAAAGTTGGGAGGGGGTGAGGAGGTGGGAGATGGATCTGGGAGGAGCTAGGGGAGGAGTTGGGGTTGAATATGATCAAAATACATTGCATGAAAATCTCAAAGAACAAAAATACACTAAAGGAAAAAAAAAGTAGTTCCCATAGGATAGAGGGTAGAAATGATGATGATTATCAGAGATGGGGGAGCGAGCGATGACAAGAAATTGGCATTGATCACTAGGTATGAAGTTATTGTTACCTGAAATACATTGTGCCAGGCATGGTAGCATATGCCTTTGATCCCAGCACTTGGGACAGAGGCAGAGGCTGGAGGATCTCTGTGAGTTCAAGGCCAGCCTGGTCTACATAGCGAGTTCCAGGCTAGCTGGGGGTACAGGGAGACCCTGTCTCAAAAACAAACAAAAAATAAAGATATTGTGGTGTCTATTGTACAGTAGGATGACTACAGATAATATATATTTAATATTTTCTTTATTATTTTTATTTTATGGGTATGAGTATATTGCCTGCATGTATGTAAGTACACCATGTCATGCAATGCCTGCAGAGGTCAGAAGAGGCATGGATCCCTTGCAACTGGAGTTACAGACGGTTGTTAGATGCCATGTGGGTGCTGGGAATTGAACCCAGGTCCTCTGCAAAAGAGCAGCCAGTGCTCTTAACCACTGAGCCAATTCTCCAGCCCCAATATATTTTAAAAAATAAATAAATTCAAGGCCAGGTGTGGTAGTGCATGCCTTTAATCCCAGCACTCAGGAGGCAGAAGCAGAGTGAGTTTCAAGCCAGCTAGGGCTATAGAGAAACCCTGTCTCAAAATATATATCTAAATTCTATCTGCAAGCTCTCACTCTCATGCCCCAGCCTTATAATTCCAGCACTTGGGAAGGAGAGGCAGGAGGATCCGGAGTTCAAGGTCATACATAACCATATAGAGTCAGAGGCTAGCCTAGACTACATAAGACTCTGTCTCAAAAAAAAAAAATATTCTGACTTTGAGACCACTCTAGTCTTCATAAATTCCAGGCTAGCTAGATTACATAATGAGACCCTGTCTCAAAAGAAAACAAACTCAGCTAACAAGAAATAGAAGGGAACTTTCTTGGTATAATAAAGGTCAAATGGATAATCAGTTAATATATTTAATTGTGAAAAATTGAAAGTTTTTACTCCAAGATCTGGAGCAAGACAAAGATGACTTTTAGTTATTTGACATTGGCTAGAATTTTTTTTTTTGTCGTTTTTGAGACAGGGTCTCCCTGTCTCAGCTGTCCTGGAACTCACTATGGAGACAAGCCTGGCCTTGAACTTACAGAGATCCGCCTGCCTCTGTCTCCCTAGTGCTGGGACTAAAGGCATGCACCACCATGCCTGGCCACATTGGCTGGAAATTTCATCTAGAGTAGATAAGGAAAAAAATGCAAATTGGAAAAGAAGTAAACTTATTTGGTTTTGGTCTTGTTGAGACAGGGTTTCCTATAGCCCCAGCTGGCCTGGAACGCACTATGTAGACCAGGCTAACCTTGAACTCACAGATTCACCTGCCTCTGCCTCCCAAGTGCTGGGACTAAAGACATGTGCCACCACACCCAGCCAGTAAACTTATTTCTTATTGCAGATAACATAATCTTAATGAACGTTACTTCACAACTTGCTAAAACTTAAATAAATTCATGGCTAGAGAGCTGGCTCAGTGGTTAAGAGCACTGCCTGCTCTAACAGAGAACCCAGGTTTGGTTCCTAGCACGCATATGATGGTTAACAATTATCTGTAACTCCAGTTCCATGCCCTCTTTTAGCCTCTGTGGGCATTGCAGGACATGGGTGCAGGCAAAACTCTCATACACATTAAAATAATAAATAAATAAATAGATGATGGATGGATGGATAGATGACAGATAGATAGATGATAGATGGATGGATGGATGGATGGATGGATGGATAGGGTCAGGTATGGTGGTGCCCGCCTTTAATCCCAGCACTTGGGAGGCAGAGGCAGGCAGATCTCTGTGAGTTCAAGGCCAGCCTGGTCTACATAG